CGCCCCCCAGCCCGGCGCCGCCAGCCGAGCCCTCGCTGGTGCGGCTGGGAGACAGGCGCGCGCCGGACGCGGCCGAGCCGAGCACCTCCTTGCCGCCTTCCTCCTCCACGATCTCATCCGATTCCTCTTCGCTGGACGAAGGGTCCAGCATGGTGGCGCCTGGGAAGAGGGGGGTCCCTGGAACCCCCGGCTTGGGGTGCAAAAGGTGGGGGCGTTGGAGGCAGCCGGGGGTAGGCTCTCCCGGGCGGGCTCTTCTCCCCGGGTCAAGGAGCGAGCGCGCTGCTGCTCAGCCTCGGCCGCCGCGACTGCTTCCTCCGCCGGCGATCGCGAGCAGGGCTCAGACCCAGGAGCGCGAGGGGAGGAGGGGAAGGGAGAGGTGCGTCCGTGGACCCGAGGTGGGCAAGTGGGAGAATCAATTGCGAGCCCCGAGTCCGCACTCGGATGCCATCTGCAGCGGCTGAAGGAGGCGCCTCCAGAAAAGATGCCGAGTGTTGCAAGCTGTCGATGCAGCCAAGAGCCGAAGAGGCATCTTGCCGATTGGGGAGGGAGCGGCGCTTACGTGTTTATTGGCTTAACTCTCCCGTGTCCGCGGCGTAAAGGGCGGCTGCAGAGGACTGGAGGGGGGGAGAGCGCGGAGCGTCCCCAAAGCCTCAGAGTCTCAGTACTTGGGACCCTAAGGCCTTCTCACCCTCCTCGCCTCCTCCCCTTTGGGGATAATTTCCTCCTTGAGCCCCAGCTCTCGTTGTCTCGACCCTTCTTCCCCTCCCGTGGACAAAAAGTTCTCGGGGGAGGGAGAGAAAGAGAAACCAGAGATGACTTCTTGCCAGCCGAGAGCGGGCTGTCTGTTCGGAGACGCTAAATCGAGAGGTGTCTCTAAAAGGAAGTCAGCGAGATCCCATACGGGAGAGAAGGGGTCCATCTCCTATCCCCAGGCTTCTTTACACCTGGGACGTGTGGGCAGTGGAGGCCGGGCAGCTTGTTAGTCCCACCTGAGTAAACTGATCCCAGCAATTTACTCCACACGCGCCCACTCTAATTAAAATGAAAGTGAATCAGATTTTTCTTGAAATGGTGTGTCGACCATCAGCTCAACTATTTGAGTAGAGGCCCCGTCTTTGCCTACTCCCCCAGAGCTAGGACGGATATTCTTCAGTTCCCAAGAACTGGGATTACTTTTTGCTGAGGTGAGTCTACCAGACAAATAGAAGGGTTTCTGGTTGCTCAGCCCTTTCTGCATTCTGGCTCGCTGGAGGACCTGGGTGGAGGAGTGAGAACCCCGAGATCAAAGACATCCCCCAAACTCAGCTGCGTCCACATCTAAAGCGTTGACTCTGTCACACTGTCTTCACTCCTGCTTCTCGTGTAATCTATTAATACAAAGCAGCAGATGGTGCCTTCTCTTTCCCTGCCTTCACTCAGGCCAACAGACCCGGAGGACCGGGGAGCTGGCCAGAGTGCTGAATCTCATCAGCGACCCGCAGATGGATTGAAAATAAACGAACACCCTCCACCTCCGGACCTTAGGCTGGGCTGTCTAGAGACCCCTCTCCACCCTCCTCCATCCCATCTCCTACATTTATGTATTTTCCAATTCTCTAATTATCCGTAGATACTGGTGTGAGCGATTGTAAAAGTGTAGCGTGAGTTTCAAGTTTGCATCACATTTGTCTTTATGTATTTTCCAATTTACCATAAGTTTTACTGTAGGCTTTGATATTCGAATGAAGCTTTCTGGCTAACTTGTTTGAGACCTGAAAATTAACTTAAAGCAACATCTAGTTTCACAGTAACTCCAACAATGCTGTTTGCTTTTTTGAATTAAGTAATATACTCCTATGGATGGCTTATATTTAACTTTACCACTATATTCAGGTCAAGGACTCAACTTCTGTGGTCATCACACAACCTGTATCATTTAAAAATAAAACAATGAGCAATGTGGGAATTGTTACAATTTGGCCACTGCTCACTTTTTAATTCTTCTAAAGAAGTAAATATGTTCAAATCATGCTGTACTGGTTTCCTTGGAACAGAAAATGTAGTAGGCCAATCATTTGATCAATAGCCTTTATTCAGCACCTTTTTATGAAGTTCTAGGTGCTTGGGGTAGATGGAATTTTTAGAAGACATTCTCTTAGTCTGTACTCTCCTTTGGGAGATACTACACATAAGCATGTGAAAAGGATTAACAGCACTATTTCAAGGCAATATATAAACAAATCTAAGTTAGCAAACTGCAAAAACTTACATGAATGAAGCAACTTGGAGTGGAAGAGAATTGTATATTTCTCAAAGAAGAGAGCTAAGTTTTAAAGGAAGGAACCATGTTAATGGGTGGTGAAAAGAGAAGGTAATACAAGTGGAAAAAGTGGTTTGTAAAGCCATAGTGATAGGGCATGAGACCAAGTAAGGTCAAGAGTGTTATGAAGATAGGGTCTAGGTAGGTAATGGTGAGGTTAGGAGGAAAGAAACAACTGAAATTATAATCCATTTGGCCAAATGGAGAGACCATGTTTATGACACAAAAATGTGAGTTAGGGATCATGTGGTGATTTGTGGAGGGGGTATCATTGAAGGCCAGACAAAGGCCATTTACTGATTAAGTATTTCTTCCTTAAGCAAGTTGAGGCATTTAAGCATTATCACATTAGATGCTGGTGGCAGAGTGACCATGAATTCTATCTGCAGAGCTATTTGGAATTTCTCAATTCCCATAATAAAGTTTTGTTTGGTTTTGTATTTTTACAAATTCTTTTGGAGTTATGCGTTTCTTTCCAATCATTATCATTAATATAGAAACTCAATATCTACCTTTTGTTATTCATATTAACCTACAATTTGGGCACTAAATATAACATTGCTTAGCAAAATATAACCATCTTCTCAATGCCAACACCCCCACCAGTATTCAAAGAGACTTAAACAGATTTTACCAGAAATACTTTAATAATTTTTCAAATGGTATACATTGATGCTTTTAAAAAATATACACGGGTCCTGATCAAGGACTAGACACCATCATCTGTGTTATGGGTCAACAGGGGTAAATATTTTAAGACCAGTATACAGACTTTCCTTGTACTGGTGAAAATCAATCTCCATTTCAAAGACTTCTCTTACCTTAGCTGAAAGTCAATTCAATGTCCTTGGAGGTATTAAAACTCTTTGTTAGTGCTGGAGATAAGACATGCCAACAAGAACTCCCTACGCATCTGAACAAGGAGTTGTGGCTTCCCTAAATGCACATTTTAATGAACGAGGAAGAAAATAATCCCAGAACATGTCTAAAGGCTCTTGTCTTTTGTCTATCTCTTATTAAAATCCATGTTCCTATAAATAAAATACAATTCTATCATAGATTTCAATACACTTAAGTATTTATATCTTCAAACAAGCTATTTTAGGTAGTTTCCTATTTGCCCCCACATCCAGTTCTGTTTTGTAGGAAACTTGAATAACATCAAGATGAAGGAATAAATCTTAGTCATCTAGAGACCATATCATGAAAGTAAAAGTTATAATATTGAATTTTGTAATCCTACACACAAAAAGCAAAGTCTAGAGGAAATAGAAATGACTGAGATGATAAACCAGTGTTTTCTGATCTAAACCCAGATGATCTTCATTTTTTCTGCAGTATTTGCCAGGACTGTGTAAAAGTTCACAAGTATTAGAAAATATCTGACTTATTGGCAATAGATAGACAATTTAGTGAAAAACAATCACTTCTTTGTATCACTCATGGAATATGGTTCAATCAAATAAAACTGAATTTAATTGACCACTTCAATTTTTTTTGTGGGTTTGTTACTAAAAGATAGTTTAGCCAAGTTACATCTTTTTGAAAAATCTCAAATTTCATACTAGCTAGATGTAATCACCTCATCCATTTAACACCAAAAGATTAATTAATTTAATGACCAAAAGATTAAATTAGATGACATATAAAAAGTGATTTTCAACAGATTTTAGCTTTAAATATTTTTTCAAATGATGGGAGAGGGATATGTAATAAATGAGATGATTAGAAATTGGATACAAATAGTTGGAAGGAAAAACAACATAAAAAAACCAAATAATTGAGAAATAGATCCTGAGTAATAGATTTGTTTATTTATTTAATTGATCCCTGTATTGTTTTAGATAATATTTTCAGGGACTTAGAAAATATTTCATTTAATTTGAGAAATCTACTTTTCATCATTACTCTTTATCATATGATGATTCTTGAAGTGAAATGAAGTGGGTTAGGATGGAATTAAAGGATAATCATAAGACTAAAAATAGTAAAGTCAAGCCACATAAAACATCTTCTTTCACTCCAGGTAACAAAGCATGTTTTGGAATAACAAATAATACTACTTGCAAGAACTGCTCTTGGAAAGACACCCTCATTACTTAAGAAAATGAAAAAGTAAAATGGAACAACACATTTTACAATAAATATTTAACTTGAATTCTGAAACCTGAGTGTTCACAAGGATAATCTGTTTTTTTTTTTTTTTGGATACACATTTTCTTGTAATAGAAGTGGGAGCTAGACATGGTGTAGATCGAAATGCAATTTATGCTGGTATTTACATGCACAAGATGGAGGGTGTTTGTCATTTTGCAATGACTCTGGGATACAGTGACATGCCAGCAAATAAATGGGGCAAAAAGTATCTAAACTGTTTTTCCCACATGATAAGATATTAGGTGAATAATTTGCCTAATTAGCCCAATTCCCCAATTAGGTTTGCCTTGATAAATGTTGCTAACATTATATCTTCACCTTCTCAGAAGAATTTTCTGGGTTCATTGGGTTATATTTAACTGTTTTCAAAAACTACAGTGGCTTTAGACTGGGAAGCTTTCTGCAGATTGTAAATTGGAATGATGAATCAAGGTATTTTCATATTAACAAGTTTGTTTTCAGTTTTAAATAACTGAACATAGAGGGTTCCTTAATTTAGGCTGCCCTTAATTTAGGTTTTACTTTATATTTTGGAGAAAGAAAATGGGTAGGAAAGGAGGCTGAGAGAGGCTTAATGAATGAAAGGAAGCAAAAATGTAAAAATGGGTCCTGGTCAAGGAGTAGACACCATCATCTGTGTTATGGGTCAATAGGGGTAAATATTTTAAGAACAGTATACAGACTTTCCTTAGACT